TTTGGTCCAAATCGAAGCCATTCCCAAAACTTTTGATCGACCAGATTTCGGATGGAATAAGTGACGATACCAATTTCTGTAGCGCCGTAACCACAACAAACTTTAACCCCTGCATTCATCAGGGCATTTCCCATCTTAGGCGCAAGAGGACCACCACCATAGGCCTGTATTGGTATTAATGCGACTCATTCCTTGGCACAGCATCAATAACAAACTTACAATATATTCGAGGGTCTTCAAAACATCGACAGCACTAGGCGAAAACGCCCATTGTTCAAGAAAGGCAGGAACGACTATCATAGCGTTCGATTTCGTCTTGAGTACAGAGTCCAAGATGTTTTGCGAGTTGGGTATTACGGGGGCCGCCAAGGGATCGAGGAAGGATGTAGGTGGAAAAATAGACACACTGCTCAAGCTGGCGATGGGGACGAACAGCTGAAAATTTACACCAAGGGTATGGAATGATGGTAAGGACGCAGCATTGATGCGGATATGAACGGGAGCGTCTATGAGGCCGGCAATAGATGCTAATGCCACTCCATCTTAGTATTGTTTGTTGTGGAGATTACTTTACAACTCACGCGATGTGCACCAGTGGACGGCAGTCAGGTTACCTACTGGAATAGGTTTGGGGAAGCCAGTGCTGCCAGATGAGTGCAGGTAGAATAATACATCGTTCTCAGATGACCGTAAACCTGGGGAAGAGTACGGGACGATGGCCTCGTTTGGAGTACCACTAACGAGCGCGGTGTACAGGTGACTCAGCGCCGGAATCTCGTCGATCTGCAGCTGGCTCGTTTGAGTGTCAGACACAAGACTCGCTTTGACTCCGTCGATGAGGGAAGCAAGAGAGTGATGAGTCGTGATTATACGACGGCATCTTGTTTTCTGCATCATGCTCGTGACTGCCGCTGCCGAATTACGAGGGGACATGGGGAATGGCTTGAAATAGCAGTGATTAGAAACCCGCTCATTCAGAAGATATATGTACGCACGATTAGCCCAGCGAATATTATACCCATGAATACTGTCTGGTAAAGAAGGGTGTCAGAGTTCGCGATGAGGGCAACCACTTCTTTGTCTGCGCCTGTGGAGGCTGGCCTAATTGCGTGGGCGGCCCGATGACAAGCTCTATAGAAGTCTGAGTGTGAGATGGAGACTAGGTCATTGCTGTCAGGTTTGTCGTAGACAAAGAAAGTAGCGTCCGAGTTATGTTGCGCATTGAATTCCAGCAATTCAGGGATGAAGAGAGATCCGTCGAGGGGAGGGTAACTGACCATTGTAGACGCTTAGGCTGAGTATTGAGACGAGATCATGCACCAATAAATAGACATTTTGAAGCAGCATCTCGTGATAATTAATATTAATCTGAAGAGTGAACTTAGAGGTATCGGGCCAATGGGAAAACCAAAGAGGCCAGACGAGATGTCGCTGACTAGACATGACTGATGCATGATGCGCGGTCGGACTAGGAGAGGATCAAAGCTTGTATCTAAGCCATTCTGAGTTACTTCTTCGGACCCTGGAATATAAATATAGAAATTATCTCTCTCGGTTTCCCAAGGTACGTAATGACCGCCTATGGCTTACCGGTTCCTTAATCACTACAACTCGGGTTCTTCATTACCGGTACCCCCCACTCCTCATCTAATTCCCAAGTCATCCCACTAATCTCCCCTCTTACGTCACTTTCGCTGCACTCATCCTTCTCCATTAATTCATGAAGACACCCTTTTACCGCCCATTCCCCCGTATGGCATCGCGTCCTTCTCCACCTTTCCTCCGCTCAACTCATCTTACATTATGCCGCTGACATACCGTCACGGAGTTACTCATCATTGATGTTTCGGGCCTCAACCGCATCTCCCAGGCCTGCAGGTATGGAGTGCTCACATCTTATCAGCATCATCATCGCCGGGTATTCAAAAACACGAGCCTGCGCCGGTACTACCGCCATCCCCACCCTCTACCACACCCGAGAGCTCGCTTTCCAGATACAAAACGACTATTCCTCGCAACTACTGCAGGACAACCCTTCTCGCACTCGTGAACGGCAACTCGGGTTAGGCCTGGCACGGGAGGGCGCGGGTTAGAGGTTCGGTGTAGTATTGGGGAGGCTGTAGGGTTGAACGTAGCGGGCGTTAGAAATGCGCGATGCCAAGGTGCTTAACTTTATATGCGAGCAGAAAGTACCTTACCCAGCAGTACTGAGTCGCCAAGTTTTAATTCTTCGGAAATAGTCGAAGAAGACTTGTTACTGCACATCAATCAGCGCGCACCTGAAGCTTGAAGAGGCACAGGCTTCATAGGCGGACAGGAAGTGGATAGAAAAATGTGTATTAGGATATGGTAATAAACAGAATTACAAAATTAAAGCTGAACAATAGACCTAGACGGGCAACAAGTGAGGCTCGTCGTCCAGGAAGTGAGGCTTACCGTCGATATTCAAATTCTCGTCCAACGAGTGGGCTCACCGTCGATGGTCAAATTCTGGTCTAACGAGTGAGTGACGAGAACGACAAGCCCCGAGGAAACCCGGCTAAGCGTATGACTACCACAGCTACCTTCTATGCCAGAAGATAAATGGATTTACTAAGATTCAGTCGACTAGTAGTAGCCGAGGAGTTCTGGGGTCTAGACGTCTAGGGGTGACTGAGTAACATCAGCTACTAGCACGTACCTTGTTATCGGAGTCGAAGTACTTGAAGCAATATGTTCACTTCTGATTAGCTTATTGTTTGCAACCATCACGGAGCAGTAAGATAGGAGAGAGAATTTCTACATCAAATTTCTATATCAACGAACAAAGGAAACTGTCAAGACGCGGTTCTATGAGCGGTAAGATAAGCCACTCAACTCACACCGAGTTATTTTTGAAACTCCGTCATGGCACGCAAAGGAAGTACAGAAGTCGACGCAAAGAAATTCCATACGAGGTTTCCTTTGTTTCCCTCTTCTGTGCAAGGAGAGAAAGCAGCCGTCGAGCCTGGATGGCTGTACGGGTGACCGTCTCATCTTCCTTATCCAGAATCTCGGAAGAGCCGATAATGATTTGGGGAGGGTGGTCAGTATGCTCCTTCGTCACGGTGGATGCTTTCACTTCTGTCAAACAGAAATCGTAAGCAAAGGACCGAGGACTAGTCGGATCTCGTTACAATGGAATTTGACGTAATTGGACTATGGGGTAAGAATCAACTCGGTCGGTAGAACTCGAGTCAGTTACGAATTGTCGTCTTCTTGGCCGGAAATGTATAGACGATGCATGACAGAGAGTACGAAGTATTCCCAAGTAGTATCAGTTGCTGCAAATCCAATTAGTTGTGATATCCTGAGCAAGCGGCATTAGCTCGATATTCAAACGAGATGTAGTGGTGATGAACGCAGGCAAGGCGCTACTAGGAAGAGGGATGAAAGGGACAGAATGTGCATCACTGCTGCCCTACTCGGTGTCAAGAATGATTTAGGTGGAGGTAGCATGTTGAGACTCAGGTAACGGAGATTCAGGTAGGGTTTTGCAGCTATGTCTCGATCAACTATTAGTGTGATTGTTCGAGACATGGCAGCAGGCGCCGGGATGGAAGAAGGAACCACTATTGGCCCAGGCAACTCCCCTCTTGCTCCTGTTTATCACCCTGACCAGCCCTGGAATTTCATGTCCTCCTGCTGGTCAATGGCGCCCATCAATCGACGTTCTACTGAATAAGCGCTTCGATTGGTTAAGAGCGAATTGGTATTGTACGATTGAGTGAAAGATACAACTTACAATTTCGTGCACTTGCATATTGCCCTCCTATTGACTTTCCATACGCTTTGAGGGCCGCAGGTACACGGTACATGGTGGCACCTGGGGTCTGAGCTCGCAATATGACCGATAGATGGTGTTATAAAGCTGTCATATTACCTTGTACCACAAGGTCGGCTGGTCACCGGTCAATATCAGCTGGCTCAGTGGCTGTACAATCCTACTTTTGACCCCGTGAGAATTAACATAACTATTATGAACATAGCGCCAGCCGGACCCGGGTCTCGCCCTTGTTTTGCGTCCATCGAATATTTCATTTTGCGTTGGCAAATGACTGCTAATCCTATGATTCTGCTGTCAATGCATGATATTCTTCGACTCGTACTAGAGACGTCCGTCTTGACCAGTCTTAGCCAAGTGCTAAGTGTGACAGGACAGAAATTTGTTGCAGGTTTGAAACCTGCGCACTCAACAATCTTTTTTCCCCTTTTATCACGCCTTGAACATTCACGCATGGATAGATCCTTCAAGGTCTATCTTATGTAGTCATAGCCAACCGGCACCAGAACAGATAAGAAATCTTGGGTAATGGGGATTCAAAACCTGTCGACAAATGTCTTATCACACCTTGACATTCACTCGTGGGCAGTTCTTCGGAGGTTCATGTCAACTTGGGAAGCATCCTGGCCGAAGTGAATCATTACCACAACAGAATCGAAATCTGTTTCCTTTGGACTGCGCAGGTTCGAAATCTGCCAACAACAAGTTTTTTGTTCTCTGGGAACATACGTACCCTGACATTCACTCATGTCGTCGGAGGTTCATCTAACTGGTCTTAACTAAGTGGTTACCGCAACAGAATCAAAATCTGTTTCTCTTGGACTGTGCTTGTTCGAAACTTGCCGATTGACAGGTTTTTTTCTACCAGAACATGCCTCGAAGATTCGCTCATGGATGGTTTCCTCGGAGCTCCATCTCAACTTTGTCCTGGCCATAGTAGTTACCACAACAGAATCTAAATCTGTCTCTTGGCCTGTGCCAGTGCAGGTTCGAAACTTGCCGATCGACAGGTTTTTTTTCTATCGGAACACGCCTTGAGGATTCACTCATATATTGTTTTCTTGGAGGCCCATCTTACTGGTGGTTTCCGCAATCGAATCAAAATCTATCAAACCTGCCGACGACAAGTTTTTTTTTCCTATCGGAACACACTTCGACACCCACTCATGGATGGTTTCGTCAGGTGTTCATCCTAACTGGTCCTAGCCAAGTGGCTACCGCAACAGAATCAAAATCTGTTTCTCTTCAAAGTGTGCAGGTTCGAAACCTGCCGAATCACAGGTTTTTTTTTATCGGAACACGCCTTGACATTCACTCATGGAGGGTTTCCTCAGAAGTCCATCTAACTGGTCTTCGCCAAGTGGTTACTACAACAGATTTAAAATCTGTGTCTCTTGGAGTTGGTTCGAAACCTCCTGACAACATTTTTGCGGTGTATAGATCTTCGGAGGTTCACCTTAACTAGGCCCAGTCATTAATGTGCCGAAGCCTCTATTTATATTCCGTCCATGAAAAGGAATTCACTTTCATGCCCCGCGATGGCTTCAGCTTCTCCTCGGAAAGTTTTCCAGTTATCATTCATAACTTACGGCCGGGCGTTCGAGAAGATGATTCAACGAGAACGCGATGCCGAGAACTTAAACACACCATTCATACGCTAAAAACTTGGCGGTGGCCTTTCATCTGACAAACCTCTCAAAGGAAAGGAATATCACGGTACTCAAGCATCTTCTGATTATTGGTAGATCCCTAAGCTGTGCTGTCTGAAAGTTATATCCATCTCAATCATTTGTCAGAACCTGTCTGTTGATATGTACTCATTCTCATCACAGATGTGGTATATTGAACATACTGTGAGCCGTTCGTAACATGATTGAGCGCGCGTTCTACTGTACGTGCTACACTGGTCTTCTCCAGATAATCAACTCGAATCCTCTACCACTATTCCAGATTTTATAACCAAACAATCTCTACTTCTTTTTCGAAGTCGTGTTTGCAACGAACCGTCAAAATCCTCTCCGTAACCTTCCCTTTTCCAGTGGTTACGCACGGTATCCAGTCCAGGGCGAGAAAACCGCCTCAAGAGGAAACATATATAAATTTGTCCTGCTTTCAACTTCCCTTTCATAGCGTCATCATGGTCGTGGTAGTTAACGATCCCGATCGCCCACTCTGTCGTAGATGCAGGTGGAAAGAAAGGGGATTGAACAACCAGCTCTTCGAGCGGTGACTCGGATGTCATGAGGCTATCAGCGGGACGGGAAAGGAATACCGACTGCCAGAGACTCTGGTCAATGGAGGCGGGGACCATGAGTAGCTTGACCTGCACGCCACGCTTCGTGACTGAGAAGCCGTCATCACCGCTACCCTCTCCCCACCACGAGATCTCGTGGTTCTTGAGCATCTCGAGCGCTGCTTCGTCTGTTGTGTGATAACAGGAAGGCTCTGTTGGACGACCAGGGAGTCCGCCGGCCCACACAAGAATTTGCCATTCCTTGCACTTCTCAATAAGCTCTGCCATGAATCTTTTAAAAGCTCGATCTCCTTCTCCATATGCGACCGTCATGGTGATGTCAAAGATGCCGGTGAGAGAGTAGGCAACATCTTCAATACGGGTTGTCTTCCGACTCGCTGCCCAGTTCATCTTCTCCCAGGCACGATTTGGCCCGGAGCGAAAGTTGCGCAGGTCGTTTTCGGGGATATTGGTAGCGCGATAAAGAGCATGAACAACCTTGGCGTCGTCTTTGTCGTTGGAATTTTGTGTAAGGGGCGTCCATGTAGAACCGTAATAAAACCTCATCCTAAGGGGTGCAAGGAGCTCCTGTAACGTCCAGCCACGAAAGAACCACTCGTCATTTTCCAGCGTATCCCACGAATTTGTCTGAGCCAGGTGCACTATGCATATATAGGCTTCGCGGTACCACATGTACATCGACCGAATTGCTTCGTCGAGCTCTGAGCTGCTTTCTTTGTTAATGCAGCAGGTATCAGACCATGCGAGATCACAGCCATACTCCTTTGCTTTTGAGCAAAACTTCTCCAGCTTCTTGTAACCCGCTCCTTCGCATTTTAGGTCTTGGAATGTTGGCTCCGATTCTCCCCATCGGTGCGATAGAATGGCATATTTGAGCAGGTCGATCACAGCCGACTCTATGGCAGACTGCCTCGACCACCCCCCGCACCGACGGATGTCCTCCTCGGTGATCGTCTCTGGTTTCAGTATCGTAATAAGTTTGTCCCGCGAGATCAATTCCATTTTTGGGATATGGATCAAATGTGATGGAACCAGAAAAACACGTCGTTTGAACTCGGCTACAACATCAGGAATGCCTTTGTGATCATGCTGTTCGACAAGAGAAATGCCTTTTTCGTGATCGTGCTGATACGAAGATCAGCTTGCATATGTATACGAGCACTTATTCAACAAACGTACCGCCACAACTTGCGCGGTCCGCGGCATTCCCGTTCTTAGCGCTTCGCGTACAAAGGCTAGTGTCTGATCTGCGGATGGGCGGTCTGTTGGCGCAAAAGAAAAGCATTTTCGGAGGAAGGATGAGTCTTGGACCTGATCCTTAATTACCGGTGGTAGTGGCGGTACCTTCTTGTGAAGTAATTGGAGGGGAATGTGGTTAGATCGAATTGACCGCCAGGGCAACTGCCCAGAGAGCACCTGAGATGGTCGTTAGATACATAGCGTAGGTTTGAATGCCAATGGATGAGTTGATGTACATGAATCATGTTGCAACCAAAAGACCACACATCGCTTTTGGAAGTGGGAAAGGTCTCTTCATCATTGACTAACTCGGGAGCTATCCAGCGAATAGTGGCCGAACGGATGTCGCCCGAACCAGACTCTAGGCTGGACGCGAACTCGTTAAGCCTCTTGGAAAGCCCGACGCCCGTTACAAAAGCACGCCCCTGCGAGTCAACCAAAATGTTGTCCTGACGCACCAGCACATCGGAGATAATTAGTGCTCATCTGCCTTATTGATTTTGGTAAGAACTCACACCTGTTAGATCTCCGTGAACTACAGCGATATAATGCACTGATAAAAAATCCACTTGAGAGTCTACACTTTTGTAGATGAGCAGACCTACAATATTGCAGTGCCAAGGCGATATCTCGCAGCTGAACATACGGAAATTCGTTTGTACATGAATCCCACCATGATCAGAAGAACTCACCAAGCGAAAGCGTTCGCCACGCTCTAAGGTCTCGTGTTCGCGCAAGAAGTTGGTTAAGCTCCCATTCTCCATCCAAGGAAACACAAGGCTAGGTAAATGACCATGCCCGTATACGTATCCGAGCACAGGCAAAATATGTTCGTTTTGAAGTCTTCCCCATACTCTAATTTCTTGTAGTAATTCGTCGTATCTCTCATTGAGATCCAAGACGTTATTAGGTTGTAGTACCCTAATAACCTTGACTGCCACCGTGACCTGAAGATGTGAGAATTATCAGTTCATGTTGATTGTTGGACTAGCACATACCGGAGAATAACTCGGTCGGTCCCAGGTGCACTTGCAGATATGATAATGACTATTTGTAGACTCAGGATGTTCACCCTTGACTATGTGATCAGTAAGGTCAGGAATGCAACTGAAACGTAGGGATTCGGTGATTGGCTCCATCATAAGGCGGGGAAATCGCGCACGTAGGAATTTCGAACACTTTTGACATAGATTCAGACGAGAACTCAGGCTCCGATACGATATACAGGTCATAGGCGCCTGGCGTGGGCGACGTGAGTGCCTCCAACTTCGAGCGTTCCTATTAATATTCACTGACACCACTGACTCCGCGGCAGTTTCCGTCTGATCACCCACTGTTCAAGCAATTAATTTCGAAATCTGCTGTCATGTCTTCTCTCATTTGTCCCACATGTACATACAATATGTTTCCGCGCTGAGGAGCATATAAATAGGATCGACTCCTACGTCATTCAACGACATCCTATGACGCTCCAAAGCGAACTTTAATAAATTGCGCGATACACTATCGATTGCGCGACACACAACATCGAGTGCGCGACACACCACTGACTCCGCGATACAATCTGTCATTTTTGTAGCTACTTCTAGCTAAAATTGGACGGCTAAAGATCTTCGAAGCTGGGCTCGACAATCAAGTGTTTACGAGATCATCAGCTGCCAGTGTACGAGCAACGAGTTTTTGCTCGTGATCAAAAGCACTCTGTGCTTTCACAATGTATAACCCATTACGTTCCACCACCGCTGCTTCCAGTCCTCGCATCTCTTTTGCTTCGTGCAAGTTCCTGCATGCACCACGCCAGTAGTGGTGACCAGGTCCAGTTATGAACCGCGGTTTGAACGAAGTCTGATTCGAAGTTCCAACAGGAGGATCTGAACCATTGTTCCGACAGTCCACGGTTCAAGGACTTGCGGGATTCTTGAACCCGTTCCGGACCTCTTCGAACTGATTGTTGTGGGCATGCCGCAGGTACGATGGCAAGAACCCGAGAGAGACGTTAGTTATCAGAAAGGACACCAGGTCGTCCAATTAGACTGGTGTAACTATATTAAAGTCAAGTCAGGATTCAGGAAATTTGCTCTCAGACTGTGGGACTTGCCGGGACTGATCACGCCAATTCCCGAAGCGCTCTGTCTCTCACCGTGAATATTTGTCAGAGTTCACGTCACAGTGGGCTTCATTGGAAACTTCGGCAGTGCGATCTTTCACTTTCTAACGAGTAGCGCGCAGAATTTCACCTTTTGAAACGACCGCTCACCTTCTCCGTTTCTGCCTCTCGCCACTTAGTGGCACTCACCACAACCCGAAATTACTCAAGTTTCACTTTCTTTTTTTTTTTTTTTTTTTTGGTGGAGCGATATTATCCGCCAGCAACTGACAAGGTCAATCCTGGTAGATACGTTGGGGGTACGGGAGTTTCACCCGTGTCAAGTTTCACTTTCAAAACCCGTGACTGGGCGGGACCGCTATCGAGTCAGCCTCCCGTCTACTACGTTTCCAAGGTCACCTGCATCTAGCTCTTCGGTACATCAATCAATTTTTTGTTCCCATCCATCACTGTCGCTGATTTACTTCCATTTTCCAAGTGTTCTTCGTCATGTGGGCATGCCGCCTGACTTGGTAAAGCCCCAACCATCCGATATAATATTTGCGTGATATCCGTAATCCTTATGTCCCATCTGCCCCTCGTCGTATTGATACCTGGTCTCAGGACTATTTTGTCGGCGACGTGAATATTGCCGTCTAATCTCTCGTGCCCTACTACCATCTACTTGGTATCTTTTCT